AACAATCACTCTGTTAGACTTATAATATAATTTGGTTTTACTTTTAAACAATATATTGAAGTGATTACATAATCGAGTACCAAAGATTGAGTGCATATAATGATGCACTTGCTCTTGTCACTCCTTTTCCTCCTACCTCCACCATCTCCCCAACCCTCTTCCCCCAACACTATGTTGTTGCTCTTGTTCTCTCCAGCTCAGTCCTCTGCCTACAAGCATCCTCTAGCAGGCACACTGGCTGCAACCACCTAGACAATAAACATTGCTGCATTTGTCTCTCTAATCTGCTACTGTATTGCCTGCACTGAACCTCAGATCCTGTGACAACACAACCCAGCTGGCTACACAGTCCTTCAGCATAAAGCATAAGCAGCCAGTCCACTTCATAATAACTTGCACAATGGTTGCTCATCCCTCTCCTCCCAACTTTTTGTCTCCCTTCCACCCCTCCTGCTCCTTGCTCCACCACTTGCATTGCCTCTCCTACATTGTACTCCTTTGTTTACACTTGCCTTCCTTTTTGCATCTGTATTCACACATCTGCATTGTTGACTAATGCTGAACAACTTCTTCAATGTTTCCATACATTTGCATACTTCCTGCTCTGTAGTGCAAGCAACAGTCAACAAGTGTGCACTTGCAACAATACTAACATACAACCACTCCCATGGTACAACCCTCTCTTCAACACTGTACATGCTCTCCTTCCTCACCCATTCCATGCTTAACATCACTCTCTACAGGTCCACCTCATGTGCATTTACATTCCCTAGTGTAGTGGACAACACCATATTGAACAGAAGCAGTGGACTGCCACTTACCCCTCTTGAGCTGGGTCCGTCCATACGTTCCACTTCACCTTCTCTGTTCGAGCCAGTATGTCCCAGAGATACACCTTTGCAATCCACAAAAACGACTCACTTCACTGCTCCTCCAATTGCACGTCAGTCAGAATATAATCATATGTATACTGATACAGCTTTGTCTGCAGCCTGAAGCAACTTGTTCAATGCTCCAGATCTCAACCTGTATGCACCACTCACACTTGCTGCACACTGTTGCAGTACGTCCACCTTTTATCTCCTATTGTCACTTGCCAACTACTCTAAACCTGTCTAACAGGCACAGCCTCAACCTCCACAACCTGCTTGACCTCATCCCACACACACACACAATTTGACTCACAGGTCCCGAGTTCTACTCACAAAAGAACAAGGCAGAGGCTGCTAGTGATGCAGGGATTGGGACTGTAGAAATAATGTAATATTCACTATCTTTTTGTATTAAATAATTAAATATAATTACATTTTATTAATTATT